GGAACAATACGCCGACTCTGTAAACCACAGAGAGGGCTGTAAAGCACTATGAAGCGATATATAAGTCTAAGTGCTATTGCTATTATAGAGTTATAAATTAAGATGTTTTGGTTATCTATTTTCTGTGTTAATATAAATGGCAAGCCCAAATAAAACTTTTTGTATGTTTTGTAACATTACAGATAAGCAGAAGCTGTAAAAATATCTGTCAGGTTTACTTTAATTTGGATTTCACATTGAGGAAAAGACAAGATTCAATGTCCCCCTTCAGTTTTGTGACTTTTTATGAATAATATATCATTCATACAATTCAGCATAAAATATCTTAAATAAAACTTCAGGTTCCACATGTAAGTTCAAAATAAGGAAATGTTCTTGTCATTTCAATACATTAACAGCATAAACATCCTTATAATCGATACCAATAAAAAGGGAGAAGCCCTAAGAGCTTTAAAAAAATGGAGCTTCTGATAATGTTTGGTTACAATGTTCACATCCCTTGTATCTCTTCCAAGGACCATGAAGTAAAACCCTTAGCTAAGTTTGAATGGGCTTTTCATGCCTTTTTCATTTATTCTGCTTTAACAAACCTCTTTCTCCTTCTCATCCCTTCCTTTTAATTCCTTGTTATTGAAATAGTTAATAAGCTTTAAATTACTTTTTACTAGACCAATGAGATTTCAAAGCCCATATTGCTGATTTCTGGTCACCTTGTAGTCAAAATAATTTTCAGAATGGATAACTATATATATGTACACATTAGGACTTTCATAATGGTAGGCAGATATTTTCAAGGCATTTTGTAAAATAATTCTGATAAAATTAATCATAACTATGGAGCTGATAGAAATTGCTACCTCCAGTGCAATCCTATGTGCATTCTTTTTTAAATAAATCCCAGAGAAATATGCAAAGGATTACAGCCTGAGGATCTGAAAAAAGATTCATCGTGGGACATCATGAGTTTTTTTGAAATCAAAACTCAGTTATGAAATTAGCAAGTAGCGCCATGGAGGTGATTCAGAACATACAGAAGTAAATACAAAACAATTTTCAAATCTTTAAAGCTGACATGTCTTTTTCCAGCTTGCTGGCTTTTTCAGAAACTGCTCCCAGCTGTCTCTGTATGCATGTGCTCACACAGTCACAGAGACAGCCAAGTCAAACACCCAGGATGCAGAAGACTTTTCAACACTAAATAGAATTTTGCAAACCCTTCGAAGACGAATCCAGAATAAATCTGTAGGTATTTTGCAGACTAGGCCAAAAAACACTGGAAAATAATATGCTAAAGCTAGTACAGTAATATTCCTAATTGCATGTTTGCTCTGCTAGCTGTTATTCTTTCTTAAAATTGTAACTTTAAACTGACAATCTAAAATTCACATATGGGATACTCCCATGGTTTCCATCAATTACAGTTTAATGCTAAATATTTACAGTATAAGGTAAGCCAGATCTTTAATAAATCATATTTATGAATGAGCAAAAACTTAATTAATATGTGAATTAAACATACTAATGTAAATGGATGGAATATTTATAAGCAAACATATAAAAATTGTGTATCATCCTCCAATCCTGAGGAAACTGTGTGTAATCATATGAATACATGCTTAAAATCACCTCTTTATATACTACATTTAAATTTAATTTTTGTATACTATGATAAAGTCTTCTATTACCAGTTTAATTCCAATTAAATCAATAATTTTATTACATTTAAGAAATGGACACAAAATATAATTTCCAGATATTATTCAAAAGCTACTAAATCTCTATAAAAGGCTGAATTAAAAAATATTTAGAATTAGCTGAGTAATTAAGCAGCGTTACTGAATTGCCAGTGAAATAGCAATGGCATAATAATGAAGATACAGTATCATTTTCTTACATTCTAGTTTATAAAATTCAACATAATTATTAATAATCTTGGTTATTGTATTATACATACTTCATAAAATTTAAACTTTGATTGAAGTGCTCTAAATATATTACAATACATAAATGTTAAGTAGTACGATTATTTAATACATTTGGAACAACTCCTTTTGACGTGAATGTGACTAATAAATGCAATTAGATTAGCACTGCAGCCTTTAAAGTTTTCTAACTATAGTTTTCAACCATAATCAAGATATCTTGCTGATACTTTATCTTCCACTTTTAAAGTGTTCTGCATTAAGTATTAACATACTTTTAACATCTCTTCTCTGCTGTAGTTTTTCATATTATCTTCTACATCCTGTTCTATATTTCTTTATCCAGAGTCACCCACTTTTTAAGTCTAAATAATAATGAAGCACAAACTAATCTTATATAAATGAATATTAAATAACTATTATGCAGTTACTTAACACCAAAATTGTTATGTATTTTCAATATTGTTCCTCAGAAGGTCAGGCAAATTACAAAAATTGAACTTTTGTCACTTACAGTTCCACATCAAAAACAGTATTTTTGAATGTGTTATTTTCCATAAAAATATCTACATATAAAGTAAATATATAATCAAAAGTAGATTATGAAAATAATTACATTGGTTAAAAATAAACTGTCAGTTCTGCTTTCCCTCCAACTCTGCCATAATACTTACAAATCCTAAATAATGGAGAATTATATCTGTTAAACTTTATAATTTTTAATGATCAAGCTATGCTGAATGTAAGTCCTGAAAGAATTCAAAACTGCATAGAAAATTTATATGGCTATACTTAACATTTCAAAAGTAAATTCTAACATTTGCGCTAATTCTAACATTTATTTTAATACATCAATTGATAAAAATATGTTTAAAGATCTGTCCACAGAGTGAATTAATTTAGTATGTATTATGAATCCTAGACACAAAGGGTAACATACCACAAAGTTAATTCTAAATTAACTCTAAACATATTGTTACCTAAATATATTGTCCAAAATATTGCTTTATATGAACATCTCTATGCACTTTGTATATATATTATAGCATTTACAAAAGTTTTATATTCTTATTACTGAGGATGATATGTGTCTTATGATTTATGATTTTATGATTATGATTTATCACTTGTTGCTTGTATGTACAGTGAGAGCTTATACACCGAAGACTAATTCCTTATGTGTCCAATCACACTTGGACAATAAGGAATTATATTCCATTCTATAAATGAAATGGCTGCTGCAGACAACGAGAAAGGGCCATTTCATAGGTTTTTGTGGAGAATCCAGTTGTGTTTGGTACTGTCTTTCAACTAACAATCAGCAACAGTCATTCTATTCGGGTACCTCAGAGGGAAAGATGGAAAGCAGATTTACTTCCATCTGCTCTACTAAATGAGACCATCATATCAGACAGCACCTGTCCCCAAAATGTTTCTGTTCAAGCCTGTCATGAAAACATTGTAATGCCCAAATAAGTACCCAAGTTTTCCTCTTTTTCTTTTCATTGTTTGTTCTTACTTATATGCAAACTACCTTGGAAGTTTTGTGGCAGAAATGTTGTAAGAATGAACAAAAGTTATGCCAAGCCTATGCTATTATGTTACTCGGGTTTCTTTTTTCATCCTGTATGTATGATCTACATGTCTGTCACCAAAAAACATGGGAAAAGAAAATAATTTAGAAACTGCAGAAAAACATGAATTACTCTTAACAACTACGTTAATATTTTATTTTTCAGCAGTATCCATCCTTAGTGCCTGATTAGTGTAATAATTCTAAAAAAAAAGTTTTGTTTTCCACATGCTTTGGCACTTGGAAAAGTATATACAAACATATTAAATAAAATAATAAAAGTTCTTTCACCACGCTGGAACAACACATTAACTTCTCAAAGTATAACAGAGATTACAGTCAACATATGTGGGTATTAACATATTGATATAACTGGTATCAAATTCAATGCTTCAATATAATTATATCCTTCTGTACAGTGTCTATGTATATGTATGCTTATGTGTAGGCATGTATGAAGTGGACAGTATATTAAAAATAATATAAATGAAAACACATACATATAAGTTTTAATGACAACTATGCTGCAATTTCTTCAAGCAAGAAATGTTCTCAAAGATTACAAAAGAGTTCAGGGATATTATCTAAGAAACTGTTAGGTTTGTCATCCTAAAATACACTCCATTACACCATGCTACACTTATTACACACTAGATCTAGAGAGTTTAGTGATATTGAATAAACCTGTTAAAAATTGCACTTTCTTTAGCTGCTCTGAATATTTTTAAATGAAATATATAACATAATAGTTTTTTCAGATATTTTCATATAAGGATATTAGAAAAAACACTGTATGTTTTCTAATTTCAAATAGATTTTTGTAAAAATCCTATAATATCATAAAGACCTTCTTTGAATCATATCAAATATATACAATACGTTTTAATACCTGGAGGTCATACAATAACTATTCTCATCTGACTTAAACTCCTGTACTCTTAACTATTATGCACTAAGAAGGAAATAAGTAACTACTCTTGTCATCATGCCAATATTATCTAGCTACCAATTGTTTGACATTTCAGTTTTATAAAAGCCTGTTTTATTACTGTATGGATGATGAGCAAAAATAAACTTAGGTCGTTTGTTTTCTAACACAGCCAAATCAACAGTAGTTTAGAATATATCTAACTTCCACCTTCATTATTTTCACATAATATACATATCATAGTGATTTCACTATCCCCCCCCCACACACACATACACATCTCAACTCAAACAGTATTTTCCATCATTTTTTGGTATTGGGTGTTAAAAAGTCATGTTTACATAGGCTGACAGGACCAAGGCCAGTTAAAACTCCTTACTCCTTGAAATCAGAGTTTCCCAATATAAAATTATGGTTACTGATGAATTAAAAACTACAAAATAGATACATACCTAAAGTCTTTAACAACAGCAATACCAATTAATATAAATCATTAGCATAAATATAAGTCACATGAAAACATGAACAAATTGTGGAGAAATATGCAATTGTTAAAAAAGTATATGGTTAAACTTACCCCATTCTAGAAACTCCAAAATATTCTTCTCTCTTCTCAAGGGTGAATTATTACATTCATCATAAAGGCAGATGAGTATATCCAACAAGGTTTCCACACTAAAGCATTGCCCATTGGTCTGAGTTGGCCCATCCAAAATAAACTGTTCCAACTGTCTCAAGCGCACCTCTCCAGACATGGCTGCTTCAGTTTTTAACAGACTTTCCTTCTTTATTATTCTGTGCTATCTTTGACAAATCTAGCACATTAGAATATATTACAGTTTATAATTTTTTTTTTGAAAAGTCAGTGTTTTAAAGATGGTACTGAAGGTATAATCCATCTCAGAACTGCCATTCTGAGAACTGTAACTTTGTCAGTTTTTCCACACATACATCTACAATATATACAGAGTATTACAGAAAAATAATTACCCTAAAATCTCCTTTAATAACATTTAAAAGAGAAAATATATATTTTATACATTTAAATAATAATAATTAAAATTTAATCCCAAGACTGAATCCACTCTTCTGTCATCCATATAGATTTTTAAAGGTCTTCTCCTTCATTCGAAATTCAGATCATGAAACCCAATCCCGAAATGAATCCTTCTGCATCATTAAAGTGTAAAGTCCCCATTCCATTTGCATCAACAATTCACTTTCAAGGAAAGAGCAGCAGGAAGAAAGCTATTTGAAGGTGGGAGGGCAAAAAATAAAAAGCACGGGATTCTGAAGATCTAGTGCTGGAGAATATCCACCACCTCCACCACCTTCTTCTCCACCTTCTCCGCCACCTCCACCTCCACCTCCACCACCTCTTAGAAAATGCATTAGTGGCAACTCTTCAGAAAGTGGGGAGTGTGAAGAAGAGAGGGAGAGGAAGAAAAGTCCTCAGAAACAGAATTTTCTGATTGCCTTAGGGCAATCTGTGCCACTCTTCCATTAAGGCTCTTCACCATTCCAAAAAACAACGTATAATCCGAATTTCCTTAACCTCCCTCCCCAATATACTGGGGAGGGGGAGCATATGGAGGGGGAAAGTCACACCCCTCTTTAAATATCGGGGAAAATAATAATTGTCCTCTCTTAAATACGGTATCAGCACATCTAGTCTAGGAAAGAAGAGAAGGCTGGGCTGGTAATAATCCTAGCAAATCCTCTCCATATCGCTGCACGTCCTCTAGCTCCTTGTTTCTCTTGACAGGGCAACAGGATATTGCCATTTTCAATCTACACACATCTCCCACTCCGCTTGCGCGCTTCCTCCAAAAGATGCTGTGCTGCTGCTGCTGCTGTTTTCTAGTGCAAGAAATGAAAAGATGCTGCCCGTCTTTCGGTCCACCATGCTTAGGGCATCTTCTTCGAGTAGCGAACAGTGATAGCCTGTACTCCCCCCGACTCCTTCCTCCGTTTCCTCTTCCTCGTCGAGGTTGTTTTCCTCTCCTCTTCTTTCACCGTCCGCCCTCCTTGACTCCACACAGCCTCATGCATAAGCTCCGGCTGCTGCCACTGAAGTCACCGGATCCAACATGGCGGCCTCTTCACCCTCCCTCCTAAAGCTCTGGAGCGAGCGAAGCTGCAGAGAGGCAAACGAGGCTGCAAGCTGTTGGGAATGAGAGGGAAGGAGCGGAGAACGCTGGAGAGATGCTTATACGGCAGCACGGAATGCAGGGATACAGGCGGACCTGAGGGGAGGGAACAGCAGCCGCACGGAAACGCCCTGCGGGCTACTGCAGGACCAGGTTGCTAAGCTAAGTTTGAGGCTCTTCTGCCTGCGTCAAGGGCTCTCGCCCAACCCGCAAAAAACGTACCTGTGCTCTGCAACCCCATCTCGCCCTTGAGACTTTTAAAACTCTGTGGCTACTTTGCATTTGATCCAGCCGACCTCTTAAAAGCACTTCTCCCACAATTTCTTAACAGTTGTGGTTTGTTCCCTCCCCACCCACTCCCTGTCTATTCTGCGTTTTTAAAGGGAAAGTATTTGACGACGGAAAACTGGAAAGAACGCCCATTTTTCTTCCAAAACTCTAAAGCTGCCCGTGATACCTATTGATCGATTGACCCTTAGGTAATAACAGAAAAGAAACTTTTGATGTTATCAACCCTTTGCACCCCGTTTTAAGGGCATGGTTGTTGAAAATGTAGGATTGGTACAGTTGGTGACTAACCCTACCTCCAATTTTTAACATTCCCAGGCTACCCACTTACTGAACCTTTTGCTGATGTTCTCTCCAGCATTTTCTATTTTTCCACTTTTCATTTAAGTTATCTTTTAAAATATCAATGAGTTTAGATAGTGAAAGTTAGGATTAACGGGCCCAAGTCATGAAACTGGGTAACTTTGGATCAGTGATTCCTAACTTAGGATCACTACTTCCTCATTACCTTCCGCATCACACAAGTTTGCAATGACAATAAAAACAGAGGCAATACAATTTACATACAGATACAGGTGCAATATCAACCTAACAAATAACTACAAATTCTGGCTGCATAATCCCCCCCCTCTTTTGGGCTTCTCTCAGTAGTCTGTGTTCCTGAACTGTCTTACAGTCACATTTTGTGACAGATATTCACATGTTCCATAATGCAAAAAATTGTTAAATCCATATATGTAAACAGTGTTATATACATTATTTCAATTTTCAAAAAAGATTGTTGGTTATATAGTGTGTTATGTAGTATGTCATGCAGAGTTCTGTACTCAAAACAAAGCTTATGGTATAAAATAACCAACTATCATTGGTAAGTGAAATCAAAGATCTTTGTCATTTAAATCAGTATTCAATAATTTTCTGTTAAACACTTTCTTTTAACAAGTTTTTTCCTCCAGCAAAATAGCAACAACAGCAATATAACCAAAAGCCCTAAACTATTCACACTATGACTTCTGGGACCACAAAAACGTCTTTTTAAAATATGGCTACTGGTACGTCCCCCTCTTCTTCAAGAGCCAGTCAGGAGACAGACTAATGTGACATCTTTCCCAAAGATTACATTTGGGAACTGTCCTCCCACTTTTTCTTCTTACTGCAGATCACTGATCCTGCTCCATTCTCAAACATTAGCGTTATTTTTTGCTGTTCTGGGTATGATGAAAATGGCATGAAAGCGGGAAGTATTTTAAAAAATCAGGAGCTATGTACTGTATCCCGACATAGTGGTAATTCATATGTATTCCATAATATCCTTCCATTTTTCAACATACTAAAAAAATTACAAGCTAACCAATATGAATAGAATAGTATGGAAGATTAATTCTCCAATTGAGTTTAATTTTAGATTGGAGCTACAGTTTAAGACTGTTTTTCCTTGTTTTTAATGCTGTCTATATTGTTATGATAAAGCAATCAACTTAAAATGTGAACTGATTTGGAGATTTGATGAAAGTATTGCTTAAAAGATGAATTTTAAATGAAGAAACTGCAAAGCCAATCTAAATGCCTCTTCCTAGGAAACAATAATGATACCCATAGAAAATATTTGCAGCTCAGGGTTGAATTATGGTGTTCTTTGAGCTTGGTTGTTTTCTTGCAAACATTTCATTACCCAACTAGGTAACATCTTTAATGCTATTAAGAAAGTGAGGTTTGCTTTCTCTTTGTATAGCAGTGAAATGATGTGATGAAGATTCTTTAATTGCATGACATATGGACATACTTAATAATCATAGTTAAATAGTTTAGAAGCAGCTTTGCACCAGTGCAATATGAAGGCATCTGTTCTTTTCATAAAATTAACTTCATTTTTCTGGTTCCATTCTCATTTGTCAAAAACTAGAATAATATTTTTCTTTTTAGTGCTGTAAAAGAAGTTTGTAAACACTGATAGAAACCCTTGCCTTGTCTTGCCTTCTAACTTCTGAATTTATTCAGTGGTCTTCCAGGGTAAAAAAAATGGTTTGCTGGTTTTGTAGCTACTCCTCAGAGTTTGTTTCATATATAATCAGATAGATTCACACAATGTAAACCAAAATCATTGGATAAGGAAGCATACTAGCATGCTTTTCTTCCATTGTTTGGGTGGACTAAAAGTGTGGGGATTTTTGTTCTCTTTGTTTTTCCATGACAAACAGTAAATTGGACAGAATTCAGATAGAATTGCTTTTCTTTATGAAATGAACCTTCATTTTGGAAGATTTGAGGACTGATGAATTGGCTTTAACAATATTTTTCAGGGGTTTTGAAGCAGAAATTGTGGCCATTTAGAAGTGTAGACATTTGGTTTTCTTTTAATGCCCTATTCCCATTATGGTGAACCTATGGCACACATGCTGGAACTGGCACACAGAGCCATTTCTCCGGGCACGCCAGCCGTCACCCCTTCCTCTTCTGGGTTCCGGCCCATTTGGAAAAGAAATCTGTAAGTATTGAAAGAAAACTGGTACAGAAAATATGTAGCGATCCGGGTCTTATTGGATTCATATCTATCCATGTTCAGTGGGCTCTCAATAGACCTCAACAGATTGTCATGCCAGTAGGTTGCTTTTCTGGTCCCTCTTAGTAGGGAGACTACCACATAGGTATAGGCAGGAATCTCTCCTTTTCTCAGTTCCTAAAACCTAAGGCAGCTGCTCTTCATAAACCTCTTCTTTGGGAATCCATTCTGAATCTTCAGAGAAAATGAGCCCTTCTTGCAAGCAAGCCCTTTATGTTGATTTGTTCATCTCTATATTGCCACTGCTTGCTTTTCTTTTAAGTTCTGTGATGCATCTTGGTATTGTTTTCCTGCAATCATTTCCTATGACAGATCTAAAATTTTCTTCCCAATAGGCTGGAAGGTTAATAGGAATGCCTCTAGCTCCTTCCCTTCTCTTTCATGAGGGCAATCAGCATGCAGCATGTGTAGTTGTCATCATCTTCAGTGAGGAAAACAAACATGGCTTATCCCCAGAAAGACATGAGAGTAGTTCTCTCTGTTTCATGTTCCTCTGATGAACAGAAAAAGAAGTAAAACCTTTTCCACCAAATTCTTATTTGCTCTCCCTCTTTACTCACTCAGTGACCTTGTTTGAACCCAGTCATTTACAGATAATTTGGTAAATCATGGTTAAACAAACCACTGCTTGCTGAGACATATAAGTCCAATCCCTACATCTGAGCCTCAGTTCCTTAATCCATAAAAATTTAACATTTGCTACTATCTTGCTATGTGTTAGAAATTGCTAAAAAATAAAAAAACAGTAAGTTTGAAAAATGCTCCATATAAATTATTTTTTTAAAAAAAACTACAAAAGGACAAAAAAGAGCAGATATTGAATTTTTCTTCTTCTCATGATTAAACTGTGCTGGAAAAAACTACTTGCTGGTGGAAAAGAAAATCATAATAAAATAGGTGTTCAGAAAAATCAGATCTAGTATTTTATACCAGTGGGCTCCAACCCCTGGACTGTGGCCCACTACCAGATTGTGGAGTATTTGGAATTGGGCCACACAAGTGGCTGGCTGGAACTCGTGCATGCGCAACTCCTTGCATGAGCAGTGGGCTGGTAGGCCCTTGTGGGCATGCGCACTGGCTTGCTGCTCGCACCAAGGCTGCATGTGCATGTGCACAAGTGTGCGTGCTGGCCCACTGCTCGTGCAGCCCAGTTCCCCACTCCCTTCTCAACCGGGCCACCAAGCCACAAAAGATTGCTGCTTTATACAGTTTCCCTTTAAAATACTATGTTTTTAAAAATAACTCTTATATTTTATTGAGAAGTATTCACATTCAATTTATAGATAATATAAAGATTATTTCTAGATCAAAAAATTAGGCTGACTTGAATCTGTTAAGAATAGCATACTTGTATATAAGATGCTCAGTCACAGCTGCACCTCTAATGTAGTTATCTGTCAATCTATCCATTATATGTGTATCTGATATATGTAAATGAATATGTACTCATATTACAGCTATTTGTGGATATATACAGAGGTAATATGGCAATATATGCATACTTAGGCATGATATAAGCACATTTTAATGCAGAGATTTAAATATAGTTAAAGTGATAGGCAGAAAAAATGTGTGCCATCTGCTTTCAATAAAAATAGCCTATTTTATATCTATGATGATTAAACGGGAGGACCTCTGGATTCTTTTATTCCATTCCTTCTTCTGCCAGGGAACTAGTTTCCTCTTTGGGAACGCAAGTTTCTTTCTCTGATTGCATTTAATCATGGAAAAGTTAAAAAGGGAGTGCTGAACATGAAAACCATACAGCAGATAATCTATCAGACAATGCTTTTGCAAAGCAATATAATACCTTTAAGTATTTTGTATTGTTCCTACCGTAATAAAGGAATAATGTCCTCCTATAAGCATAAGCCAACACTCTGTCTATCTGTCTGTGCTTTTAACATATGTTGATATTTTCATTTCAGTGCAAGTGGTGGGATTGTCATAGCTAGTTACAAAACCATCTTTCTTACCGAACAGGGTAGAAACTTAATTCTGCCTGCATAATGTCTGATTGGTGTATTTGTCAGAAATGACAAGATAGAAAGTGCAAATGACTCCAAATTCATTTCTTCACATGCAATAAGGGCATGATATCTAAAGTGGAAGAGAGAGATGTGTTTTCATAATGGAAGAATATATCTCTTCATTTTAAATATGATTTGGAGCATGAAGAAATGGG